GCATGGTAAGGTGCTGCTACTGCCTTGCCATTCACTGCACAAATGGACCCAAATTTCCGACCTTGCTGCGGATTGATTCCTGATGGGAGGTCGATGTTTGAAAAGGCTCTGGTAGGGCTTTGCCCCATGGGTCTACTAGGCCGGAGCTCTTGAGGAAGGAGCTGCAGGTATGGATCATGGACACAAAGGTGCTCACAATTCTTGGAACTCTGTCCCGGAACTCTGAGCCCCCAACGCGAAGTTCAGGCCATGGATGAAGAGGCAGCCGCCGTTGAGCAAAACAAACCCCCACGCGTTTCCAAGCAAAGGGCCAACACGCAGGAAATCGCATAACAACACCTAGCAATGGGCAATGGACCTATACAGCAACACAGCCCAAAAGCTACAAATCCATACAGATCCAAGAAAACCAGACTCCACAACATGAACACCACAACATGAACAAGGGCAACAGGCCATATCTGACGACAAAAGCCCGTCAAAAGAACATAAAAGAACATCTTGGAGTGCCAAAGCTGACAAGTTCCACAAAATCCTCTTCTACTAGCGATCGGATCAACCTGCTCTCCTCAAGGACCTTAGCATTTGGATGCCTTTAATGCAGTACACTTGCATGTTCAGTGGCAACGCCCCTGCTTCAGCATCACTTCAGCAAACAAGAAGGTTCACACTTCCGGATGCCCGGGAAGGGAATTCTCGGAAAGGATTGAGATGGACAGTGAAGTAGGTCGTTGGGGGTGGTTACCCTGCTGATTTTTGAGCGCTCCGACTACCTTTTTCCGCCTCTTTGCTGACGCAGGTGTTGGGGCACTTAGTTGCTCTTTTTGGTGGTGGGCGTTGTTGTTTCCCTTTCAGTCCTTGGTTGTGTTGTGGTTTCCAACTTGTTCTCGCTCCGGCGGCTCTTGTGGAGCTCAACTGAGCAGTTGGCATAGGTATACACTGCGATGCGCTTCTCCCCATCATCCTTCTCGTACCGGCAGGTGCTCGAAGACCTCCAGGATGCTAGGCGATGTCCAAATCCGTGTCGGAATGCCCTCGACCTAGTCATCTGAACCACTTCTGAAGGTCAGCTACTCAGAGTTCTCAGAAGACAACTCATGTTTTCACTGGGAACCATAGTGCTTTGTTGCAGGCTGAACTCGATCAAGGAACACCTCTTGGTAGAGTCTCGAACCCATTGGCTCACCTGGTATCCTAAATAGCTACATCGAAATCCACGGCCACAAATGAATGATACAGTACCCCAGTACCCCTAATTAACTGAAGGCACATATAGGATCCTCACCACGATTGACGCATGTTGAAAACCAGTGGTGAGGGTGTCACCGTTGCGGATGTTCCAGGCGACAGCTCCATGATCTCCACGCTCCCCGTCCCGCTGCCTCTGATCCTCGCAGGTGTTCACCTCCAAGGTCACCATCGGCCTGCGGCGATTGAAGAAGCCATCGCATGTGAAAGAGTCACCAGAAAGTAATGGGAATGGTTTTGCGGGTGTGTTCAGGCTTCAAGCCCAGGGCTGCCTATGCTGCGCAGCCTTCCTTTGAAGTTGCGAGTTCCAAGGCGACCTTTCAAAGAGGATGCGGACAACTGAGGAAGACCTCCCACAAATCCACAAACGCCGCCAAGCAAAGCCCATCTGTCAGGCCCCTTGAGTGGGCTTTGTCCAATCCCCAATAATAAAGGGTTTATATAGTTTTCCAGGTCGTCTCCACCTATAATTGTTCACCTTGTCCTGGGTAGTAAGATGTCACCCTGGCATCCAGGACCTCTAACGACTTGGAGTCCAGAACTTCCCCCGCCTCACCGCCCCGTTGGGCTCCACTCGACGCACCACGGACCCCAAGACCTCGGCGAGGTCTAATCGCCGAAGAGCCCCCGTCGATTGGGGTGGAACGCAGCGGATCTGCGGAGCTGTGAACATCACTTGGGTGCGGATCGGTTGCGCACTTCCTCAGTGGAACACCCGTAGATATTATATGTAGCCGCCCATTGCAGCCCCTTGCAGCCCTGCAATGGTTTTAGAGTTGTGTTCTTTGTTGGTCCAACCAATGGGAAGGCTTTTGGCACGCGAGATTGGCCGCCAACCCCGCATCAAGTCCAACCAAACAGCAAGATGTCCCCAACATCAACTCAAATAAGGGTCAAGTCAAGGAGTGCGATATCCAAACGCCAGGCTTCTACCTGAAGAGATGCCTGTTCTCCGTGGCTTTGAATAGGCTAGCAACACCACCAGTCTGTGTCTTGATTTCGAGAGAAACGAACCATGGTGTGGCGCAAGGAATGAAATAAGCTGAATGCTTCAGGATGCAGCCACAGTAGGGGAGCCTGCTCCTCCTATCCGTCCCAGTTCCTAGACATGTGAGGGCTCCTACACCCCCCACGAATGGCCCAGAGGCTCCAGAGCAAGGCCACCTGGCCACCCCAAACTCCAATTCTGGGATGCCCCGGCCAAAGGCCATGCAGTCAGCAAGGCCAACCAACGCATCAAGTGAAAGGAGGCGTCACCTCAAGGAGTGGCACCGAGTGGGTGTCTCATCGTGCCGTGGGGGAGACGGGAGTGGCCCCCTTCAAGCGTATGACACCCTAGGAGAGTCCAACAGTTTATATACCCGCAAAACCGGGTCAACTGGTCAACCAATGTTTAATCGGTTTGGAAGGCTAGAAGTAGTATATATATATATATATGTACAGCAGTTGGTTGTTGGGATATCTGAGAAACCCATCGCGCATTCTTCGCTGGTAACACGCGGCAACTGACGCTCGAAGCAGGTCCTTGGTGTCTTTTTTCGATATCCATTGTGGACCCCCGGAATTGGGACAAAGAACTGCCCAACAACCACCTGTTTCCCTTTGCTCAGCAGCTTTACAACATCTACATCTACTCCACCATTCAGTTCTTGTTCTCATGTTCATCGTTTGTGCCTCAGCCCCCCATGACACAAGCTCTTCAGCCACCCCCAGCGCATTCTTCTGCCAGAGGTGCCGGAGGTGCTGGGCCATTGGGTCGAACACGCCGTCGCACCTGAACATCGATGGACGCGTGGAGACCGAGCAGATGAAACAAGCGTCACAGGCGTCTCGACGTCTCGCACACCTCAACACTCTCGCACTTGAAAGGCCGACTCTGAAGTCTATCAAACAAATACTCAGCTTGATGTATCCTTGATCAAATGGAAACTTGTGAAGGAACCCTATAGTTCCTCCATGTTCCTCCCACAGTGGCCAAGCCTTAGGAACCAATTTCTGCGCTTGGCAAACGAAGCTCGAGCTGAAACAGCCACGACAACGACACTTGAGAGTGCTTGACTGGTGGAGAGCACCTTGCATCAATTTCAGGCATGAAATTATATACCATGGCATAAGTACTGGCATAAGTTGTTCATGCAACTTATATACAGTAAACTAGTTTCTCCCTGAGCCTATATACAACTGATATAACTGATCTCTGTCTGTGACACCGATTGCTTCCATATAGGCTAAGATTAACTGCAGTGACATGGTGCAACATTGTTCAACAAACGGCTCGTCTCCCACCATCTGTTTTTCTAAATCCGTGCTCCAACTCATTTGCCTTTCGACATTCACAGTATGTTCATGGATGGATGTTCTATCCTCTTCTTCATCGCTTCCCTCCAAACATGTTTCCATGTAAAGGACAATTATACCAAAAATCGTAGCGCACCATTGCCATAACTTGCTCGAAAGAGCAAATATTAATTTTCGGGAGTGGACCTTGTTGGAGCTAAGTGACTGTTTGTAAACCTTTGGCTTGGGTCTGATTCCTAAGAATACCCAAGCATGGTCTTCGCATGTTTTCGCACAACAGGCCCCCTTTTCCAATAAGACCCACCTTGAATCCTTGCAGCCCATATGGCTCCTACTCCCACACGGTGGCCCAATAAGACCCCACTGGGCCCGCTGCTCCCGCGCCTGCCATGGCCTCGGTGAGCTCCTGCTGGAGCCCCGCTGCACGGCGGGAGGCCTGCCGAGGTCCAAGTGGAGACGTCTGGGTGGCCCAAGCGATCCCATAGCAAGCCGAGTAGTCTTAAGAGAGAAAAGGGAGAGAAAGCATGTCGTGCATCGGATGATTACAAAACAATATGATGCATGTTGATGCATGCTCAAGTGAAAACCTCTACATGAGGCCATTCATTGGTCACGCTTAAATATTTCAGACTCCTCACTTTTTGATTCCTCACTCGCTACGCGCAAGCTGTGGAAGAATTGGCAAGCATATCCACATAGAAGCAACGAATGTTTTTCGTGTTGTGAACAGCTAACACGTCTTGTGTTGAAACACCTGAAAGTTCCATGCTGATACTCCTTTGTCAGCTGTCAAGGCAACAAACGCCTTGGGTCGTTTGTTCACTTCAATTCAGAACTGTTGTCACCACCTCCACGACCTTGGGATACAGCCCTCTCAGCGTTGGTTTTTCTGCGAACTTTGTAACTAAAGATCACCGGCAAAACGCTATAGTAGCAGCACTTGGTCACGAGCGGTTGCTCCCATTGGCCCTTGGAGAAAAGGTTTTGTCTTTTTGTCTTGAGAAATCCTGCCGCTGTGTTTGGAGAACCATGTGAGCCCCAGCCAAAGCGAAAATCATGCCTCATGGCTTCTGGCTACGCACACAATAATGATGTCCGTCGCACACATGAGTTTCTGGGACCGTCTTGCTGAGGGGTGGGAGAGAAGGAAATTAAGCTTTCACAACACCTACAACCTCCTGGTTGGGTTGTAATTTTTTGGTGGGGCCATGTTGTCTTCCATGGCAAGTAAGCCAAGGATTCTGTCGACCACTCACTTGTCCATGGAAAGCTTGCTCTCTCTCTCTCTCTCTCTCCAGGAGTCTAATCACATCACGGTGCAAGCAACCACTGGCTTAGAAGAGCGCCCGTTCCTCCCCCAACGACAGGAGCCACCACCCCGGCACGGCTGATCCCAAAGCCCTGGCGCCTCTTCCAGCTGAGCCTGCTGCTCTTGCCGCCGCTGCCGCGTCCGGGCCAAGGACGCGGAGGCCTCCTCGGCCCGGCGGCGCTCCTCCTGCGGCGCAGGAGGCGGCGCAAGAGGCCACGAGGAGTGCTGAAGGAGGTGTTGAAAGTCCCAAAGACTTGGGTTTTGGGGACCGTTTTGGGAGGTGTTGAACTGCTGCTGCTTTTTGTGTGGGAGGTGGAACTGCGTCGAAATTTCGGGGGACCTTCCAACAGCCGCACAGCCGAGTGACGATATACAGTGTGATCCTGAATGATCGTCAAAGGAAGTTGCCTACTTAAAGCTACACATATTCTCCGCACCCTGAAAATGGCGGCGTTCCACCAGTCCCACATCTTGTGAGTTAGAGCTCAGGAGACATCCTTTCCATCTGCCGCGAAGCGCTCAGAAGCAAGGTAGGATGCATTTGTTGCAGGAAGTGGCTCCCTTTGTTCAGCGCACATCTCCCAAGGAAAGCGGATCACGACGGACCAACTGGAGCGTCGCGCCCCCAGGGGCTCCGCCACGCGGAAGCATCGTCCGACGCATGTTGACGATCTCTCAACCCAGCTCCACCGCTTTGCCCGGTCATGTACTGGTTGGTGAATCCGTGAATGGAAAAAGACCTGTTTTTTGGGGGTTAAGCCTCTCGAGGCGACATGACTGAGTATACATTCTATACATTGGAAACTGTCTATAAGGAGGTTGGACCCGTGGGGTCCTCTCCATTGACTGCACCTTTCTGAAACAGCCGAATACATTGGGCCCCGCCCCACCATGGCCCCAGGCCGTCCTTGAGCGCATGGGCCCAGCCAGCCCGTGCGCCTCGCGGCCGGTGGGGCAGGCAGTCTAGGCCCAAGACTCTAGACTCATGAGGTCTAAGTAACTACTGTACATGTTGTGTTCATGTTGTCATATTATTGGTGGATTCAAAAGCCTCGCACTTGTTACAGTATAGGTTCTCTTCAGGGTCCATATTCTTCTCCTGGGAGGATAATCGTGGGCCAAGTTCCTGTTCGTAGGTAGTGACTGGCACGCCACGCACAAGTCTTCATCCCACGCATAGCTTGCTCGTCCCCATGCCCTCGCCACGAGCCAACAACGCCGAGCCACCAGCACCACTCGGGCCCGGCTTTTGTTCGCGCATGCTGCAAACAACCATCGATGAAGCGATGAAAGCTCAGTGGGCGCAATCGAGCAGCTCAGACCTAGTGTAGCTGGCCTATGGGGATGGTACGAGCCTTGGCTTTGCACATCGGCATCTCTCTACTGATGAGTTATGTTTGTTTTTTGCTGGAGTCCGAGTGATGGATACGGAAATGCCTGGACCCTCATGATCCTCCAGCCACTTGAACGTTTGCCGATATCCATTTTGATCGCAAGAGATTCACAATGTCGCGAGGTGGTTTACTGAAAATGTAATGTTGAATCTTGATGTTACCTGTAATATGAAAGGTCTGCCCAAGGAACGCCCACAGGGCCATAGGCGCTTAGAGTGCACGACTCTCATCGCCATAGATTTCATGGCTGAAAATGGCGTCAGCACACTTCAGGAGATTCCCTCCATAGAGTTTCCGGTGGCTCAAGTAGCCGCGGCTGTACAGAAACCTGGCGGTCTCGGGCTGTAACGAAGTTCCACCAGTGAACCAGGACCATGGAACCCGGTGAATCCAATGATTTTGGAGACCCTTGGGCAACCTGATGGGCCACAAGCCTTTTGGGGGATATACTCCTACTGAGTAAACCGCCAGTTTGTGTATAAAGGAAACTGTCATCCAAGGGACCACTTCCATGATTATCTCGGGATGTGTAAGTCATGCACACATACCCGCAAGTTCTGCTTCCCTGAAGGGCAGCCGTTTGCACGGCAGCCCGCACCACGATGGGTGGCATAGTAGGAGCAACTCGTCTTTTCACATGGATCCTTTCATTGGGGGCCCGTGCTAATGATCACCTGCGAGTGTACCACACAGGTCTCCTACCAACGGTGTAAACATTGGGTGTGTAATCCCATGGATGATGATGGTTTGGTTGCAGGCCTTTCCCATCCTTTCCCTAACAGAATGTTTTCCCAACTGTTACAGGTAATGGGACAAACCTAGCTAGGTAAATACCAGGTTTCCTCCCAGACTTGTGCTCATGGCCTTAGACGACAAAAAAACTCGAAAAAACCGAGCTGAGAGACTGGTGAAGACTGTCCTCTAACAGTTTCAAGGCCATGTCAAAGTGACTCCTCGGCACCGCTGGGCACTTCCAGCGGGTAGTCACAAAAACAAAGCTATCAAAAACTAACAATATATTAATATATATATATACTGTATATGTATGTGTGCAAAAAATCTATGCAGGAGAGAGAGAGAGAGAGAGAATCCGCCAACTGAGGCGGGTACAAAACCTACTTTCCTCATTGCGAAGGGCCCGTGAGTGCTTTTCTTGTTGGGGTGGGCTGGCTGGTGGTCTCCACGTACTTGCGACACACGTGTTTCCGTCTATATCGTGATTCGACATGGCGATGCTGATGGTTTCGCGCGGCTTAAAGAGGGCCAACATGGCCGTGCCACTGATTGAATGCATCTGCCAAAAAGTACGCAGAATCGCAGAATGACAAAATCCATGTTTACAGCGAAGGCCAGCCACATTGTGCCAAGCACTCCTTCTGGACTCCTTGTTGCCTGTGAATTGTGCCATTGTGAATGATCCGTCTCTAAATCGCCAGTGACACAGTGATCTACTCGACCTCCTGGTTTGTCAGCCTGTGGTAACTTCAGGAAAGACTACGTCCATGCACCCCAAGCCACCCAACAGTGCCTATGGATCCAACACTTATTTATGGGACCCATGAGTTCAGCATACCTCCAATGATTCCAGGCACCGGCCCGCACAATGACTACTGTATATAATTCTATGTGTACATATGATTAAACATGTATATACTTAACTTGTACAGTTACACTCCCGAAAACATCCGAAAACTATATAACATGGAACCTGAAAATGGACCTTTGGAAGACTATGTTCCTCTACAACCCCGTGGTTTTCTGGTTCCCTGTTAATCTTCCCGAGTGTATAATCTATACATATGATTGATATTGATTGATTCACTAGTTCATACGACACACTCGGCAAACTTGCACCGTAGATTGTTGAGTCTTGGTTCCAGGTCCACCCCAGACTCAGCCACGAAGTCAGGTGCTCGCATGTGCCCGCTACGTTCCAAGGCACTTCTCCACACGGCTGTAGTGCAAGGGCCACTCGCCGCACTTCCTCACACTGCCACCTGACCAAGGAAGCGGTCCGGCACGGTCCGTCCCGGCGTGGTGTTCCTATGTCGTCATGTCATGTCACCCGCCGTCCGTTCTCGTCCGGGAACCGCTCCGAGGGACCGGCCTTTGGGCAGTGGAAGAAAGGCACGGCTCGGGGCTTCCGGGGTCTCATGCAAATCCACCTCAGCGGCCAAAACACGAAGGGTGTCAGCATGGTCGAAGGGTCTCAAGTCTTTGGGGGTGTTGCTTTGAAGCAACGCACCTGCATTCCCTTTTCATTGAATACTTATACTTATTCTGGCTGCTTGAGTCTTTGGGTTGTTGCTCCAACGCTGCAGCTGGCTTGCTTGCTTACCCCACCCACCCACCCACCCTGTGCTGTGGAGGGTTTGGGGCTGTCATCCCTTGGCTGGCTGGGCTTGTCTAAAAGGATAGTTTCTGCAAACTGGGGCTCACATGCGTCAGGACTGTTGACAGGCGAACGGTCAGCGGTGAACTCGGCCACTTCGTCGACGGCGACAAACTCCTTGAGCTCCCTTTGGCTCCAATGCCTTCCAGTGCCTGCTGGGTCCACACCCGATGAAGGCGTGCCAGGCGTGCCGCGTGCCATTTATAGAAATACTAAAAATAGCATAGTGTTAGTGGGGAGTGTTTGTAGTGAAGCCACAGTCCACATCTGGTCTGATAGCGCCTACACTGTGGAGGGGGTCAGCAGCCTTCGAGCGCCCCCAACGACAGCAATGATGTGGCAGGTCTTGTCTGACCACTTGGCTATGAGCACCGCCACGGTTCTCCACAAGGTGAGCTCTCATACTACTGGCACCGAACGGCGGCCGATGGTTTGACGGGAATGGTGTTGCCGTTGGTTTCCACGGCTGCCGACACAGCTGCGAAGTTGGCAAACATGAATCGACCATTTGGGTTTCAGCAGGCGTACGACGCCTTTCCTTTCGAGTGGAGTGCTTCCATCGAAACGTACACTGGATTTGCTCAGTTGCACCTGGCCATAGCTGAGCAGGATCTCATTTGGCAAACACTTACACACCACCGACTCCTGATGGAAATGAAGTGCACCTGACAGCGGTGACTGGCCTGGGAGAGCCTGGGAGAGCCCAATATTTCACGGATTCCATGGAGGTTCTTCCCATTTCGTGGTTGCAACAAGTTGCAGTTTTGCATGAATTTACAGCCCTGGTTCTCTCACGCATAGTGACCCGGATCCATGAGGTTCTAGCGACGGCTGAGTTTAGCGGGATGATTGATTAGTTTAGTTGAACTCTTCGTCAACTTTTGTTGAGACCAGAGGATCACTGGCGGTGAGTTGTGTATATAGGGAGTGAGGCGAAGGCGAACCGGTTCATCCCCCGAACCTTTTCAGCGGACTTTGCAAAAGTTCAAGAAGGCCGTATTTTCTGTGTGGCGTACGGCGGGTTTGATGCCTGAGTTTGAGCGTGTTTCGTTGGTTGATTTGGGTATCCATGTTGGTTTGTTTTGCTTGGTCCGGAGACCGCTTGCAGACCACCAGAGCGCGGCTGCGGGAATTTGTAGGAGCACGCCCTATCCGCAACGCACAGGGTTTCTCCAAGCCATGGTGGATGAAGGACGCGAGCTCAGGTTTTCCGAGGGCCATGTGGCTTGAGTCTCACCGTTCGCTGTGGACTCGGACTCGGAAGGCTGTTCGCGTATCAAAATAACACGGCAAAATGCATTTGGGTTGATTTCTTTGTTTTGAGATGTTTTGAGATGCTTTTGGGGTGGGTCATTGGGACTTCTGAGACCTTCTGGGGCCCCAAGATGTCAGGTTTCTGGGGTTTTCTGGTGGAAAGCCACGAGTTCACGCTGCCGGTCCAACTGCCTCCACCTTCCCCATCTATCTGCATGGAATCGCACATGTTTGCACGCAGCTATTGCACGTCTTGGGGCACCAACCATCACCTACCCCATCAACCCCATCAAACCCTTAGCTGCCTTAGCTGCCATATATAGCTTTCTCAAATTCCCACAGTCAGAATGGACTCGATAGCTAAATTTAGCTACATCATGCCAAAACACACACCCCACGGGCCCCACACCACATGGCTCTCCCTACCTGCCAGACTGCTGCCTTGAACATGTCTTCAACTTCCACTGCAGTATCTCTGCTTTATGGCTGTGGCTCGACAACAAGAAAGCCACGAGCGCTGTAGGCTTTAGAGTGGTTTTGGCTGACCAGCAGGTTTGGGATGATGGTATCCATCAGAAGCAAGCCATCTTTGCCAACCCAAAGCACCAAGAAGCACCGTGAAGAGCCTGCTCGTTTCAGCTCCAGTTGTAGTGGCACCTCCAGAGCTGCCAAGAAAAAACTTACAATGGTTTTCTGCACTGCACCACCCAAACCGGTCCAACGGAAGGAACTTCTTGGGGGGTTCTTATGGTCCGCTGTTTAACACTGTTTGGACCCTTGACCTGATGATACCTGATGGGATCCATATAGGTTCATCGCCTTTCATCACCTTCTGGATCTCTGTTGTTTCGTTGGCACTTTGGGGTCAACATGCCATACCCCCCCATCAAAGAACAGTGGAAGGGTCCACCAATCATAAAAGAACCACCCAAGTACAGCAGAAGGGACAACGAGTTGCTGTGGTGGCATTCGGGTGGGTGGGAACAGCATGTATGCCAATATCCTAGCTCTTAACCTGCACACAAACATCACCTCTAGTATCCTCTAGTCCTTCGAAGCCACCATTCTCCCTCCCCCACTGTAGTCTGCCTCCCCAACGGTCGCGGGTCTCCCCAGCCTGTAAGAGCGCCGCCACCGAGACCAAGATGTGGCCTAAGAAGCCTAAGGCAGTGCTAGCTTCGTGCTCCTGGCCCCGTCTGAGTCTCTGAGAAAGCTCCCGGTCAGCTCGCAATCATGTCCATGAAAGGACCTAGACGAATCCTAAACTTCTCTGGCTGCTTCATTCCAAGCATCACATCTTGGTCTCTTCACTGCAAAGTGTTTCCATGAAGCTATTTTTTATATATAATATATATAGAAGAGAGAGAGAGAGAGATGGAAACGGTTGACCATTGAAATCCGCTGCTGGGTAGTGCTCTGGTCCTACTTTTGATTCAAGAGTTCTCCTTCACCGCCTGGACGGTCACAGAAAACCACGTTGCTCGGTCTGTTCTCTATTAAGGGGGGTGGTTTGCTGGCAGGTCACTGCCGGGGATTACCCCACTTCCAAGACCTGTTTCATGGCGCCTCCAAGGGATCTTGGTGGCGCAAGGATTCAGTGCCCCGAAGAGAGATCCCACGGATGGTCCAGTAGCTGCTGCCTCGGCTGGATCAACAGACTCTTCAGTTCGGGACCTTTTTGGAGTCCCTGCTTGCGACCTCTTTACAGGTCCCTGAAATGTGTTGCCACACTTAATGTCGGCACCCAATGATTTTCAGCTGAAAATGGTTGTGACATGTTGTGACACTCCTATTGCTGCCAAAAACCAGGGTGGATGAAAATGGTCGGTGGTCACCCATCATCTGCAAGTCCACGCCTTTAAACAAGATCTCCAAAAGGTGCTCGTCTTGGTGGTCCAAAGTCGAATCCCCTTACCAGCACCTTTCTCAAGGCGTCCAATGATCCCTACACTACTTCTAAACAATCCATTGGACACCCCGACAGGAAGGTCCAATCGACCTCTCGGGCGCCCCGTCACCCAAAGTCGTCTTAGCCCTCCGGTCGTCCAGGGGCATGCCCAAGCCGTGCCCACGCCGGGCGGCACTGCTGCAAGGGATACACTTGACGCACTTCGTGGAGCTTTCCTCGAGCTGGAGCCGTCGAGCCGTCGAACTGGGAGATGGGGGTGGTGTGGAAGCATGTTAATTAAGATAGGGAGCGTTAATTAACATAGGGAGACCCACAAAGACCCGCTGGAAAGACGGAAAATAGACCAAAAACCCCTTGGTTGGAGAATTACGTATAGAAAAATATGTACCCATGTGAGCATGCTGAAAAGGAGTTCTTGATAGTGAGATGCCATTCGACTTTGAGAACCTCAGAGCACCCCCTCAATGCAGCAATTCAGGCCTACTCCATCTGATGGTGGGTACCAGTGCCCATATCTTCATTCTCTTCTAGTGCTCCAAACCTTTCGAACACCGGCTTCGCCGTCGCGACCTTGTGGTGTCACGAGCGGTTCGTGACCTGGTTCGACCGTGACCGTTCGAAGCGCCGGCTGAGCCACAGTGGCCGACCAGGTGACGACAGTGGGGTAGGGCGGCCTGTGCTGCGGCCATTTGTCACGTCGTCCCGGCCCGCTGGCACGTCCTTTTTTGCCGTGGTCAGGTGTCGGTTTCGACTTGGCTGGGGATGGGGGCACGAAGACCAAAGGGTTAGTCGGCTCAGGGTTAGTCAACCCCCCCACAAAAAGAAGAACACACACACCAGAAAAGCCCCCAGGTCTGGTGGGGATCGGTAGGGGGTCCCAAACTGAAACAATATATAGTCCAAGCGTCTGATTTGTTGGCACCGCAACCTTTGCCAGCTCTTCTTTAGAGATCGACTTGCCTCACAAGGGACGTGGCGTCTGACCTACCCAAGACAGCAGGGATTGGGTTTATGATGGTTTATGATGGTTAATGATTAGTAAGGCTCCAAGGCACAACAAGAAATGAACTCAAAATGGCTCTTGGAACCCGCAGAACCTCACCAATAAAAACTGAACTGGATCAACAAATCATCCAAGCCTGGAACTCGGGTCGACGCGTCATGCAAGTCCAACACCTTCTCACCTGTTCCCTGCCCCCTTTCGCCTGGTCCAAACCTTTCATGTTCTTACCTGCTTTGAAAAGTCAAACTATTCAAGGTAGCTCAAACTCAAACACTTAAACAACCAGACTCAATCTTGACAGGATCCTGGAGAAGAAACAAAACATGTGCCCGTCTTTGAGGAACAAAGGTCTGTCATTGGCAATGAGGCTCCATCTCACATTGACATGATATGAACAACGAGTAATGGTGTCTCCAAGTGATCGTTAACTACTCCGATGTTGAGTTTCTGCGCTTAGCAGCACCTCTAGCACCTCCCCTTTCGTGAATTTATCAATCCGAATCAATCCCTGTTCTGCCGCTGACGTTTTTGAATGTTGTCCCCACATTTGTCTCGGAAACTTCTTCTCAAACTCCCCCCTTCCCAAAAATCATCGGCATCATCTCTTCTCCCACCTCTGCGTCCTCCACCTGCTGTGCTGCTAGTGCGGCCTGCAGCTCCCTGAAGCTCTCCTCTAACGGCAGCGACGGAAGAAGGCCCCCGTCGCACTTCTGGTCGCGGCCACTCTTGTGGGTCATATGATCTACGTCTTTTCCATCGCAGCTGACAAGGGAGCTGTTGCAGCCATGGAGGCACACAAACAGGCCTGGATCACCAAAGAGGAGACGACTCTAGAGTTCTAGTGAAAAGTCCTCTTCACCATGATGTTGTTCCTGTGGTTTGGTGCACTGTTGGGACAAAAACAACAAGATATTGGGAACCGACCAAACGATGTGTTCGGAAAACAGTCTGCGAATTCCTCTTCATGCTCCCTGTCCATCATCTGTCCGTTTCAATACGGCTAAGTCAAAGGTTTAAGCTGCGTCCAGTTGATGTAGACATGGACGTGGGACATGTTTGGCCCACGTCCAACCTCAAGGGATCGGTCTTCCTTGCAGTTCTTATACTGCAATATGATGGCATCTGTCTCACACTGCTCAGCTGGTAGGAGTCGAGGCAAACATGCCCGAAACACTTCGAAACCATAGATCTGTGGACATCGACCTTTCCTAATCCCCAAAGCCAGGCAAACTGGCAAAACGACACCACACCCAGTGGTTTTTTGGCATCCTGTGCAGCTGCGAAGTCCGCTGGCGGCAAAAGCGTGCTTTCTGCCATGCTGCAGGCCTCTTCAGCCAAAAGCAATGGGATTTGATGCATTTGGATGAGACTCACACCACTTCTCTGTCACTTCCAGGTAGGTTCCGTGCATCAGTATCATGTGGCTTCGACATGGGAATCCTCTGCAGGCCCCGCCTGGAGGCCTTGGTCCGTCGGCCGCCTGTGTGGATGACACGGTGGTGGGGCGATTTTGGCGGGCACTTGACCGGTCTGGCCGAACGTCGCTGCGGTCTTAAAGCCAGAAGTGCCTTTCATATATAGACTCTTTGATGAAGAAAGCCTTTCCCAGGCCTGAAGAGGTGTTTATAGTACAAAAGGGATCAAAAGAGGAGGGTCTTATGAATCAAGAGTCTACATCACTATACCTGCTGAACCAATTCCCTGCAGTATTCAGCCAGGACGCCGTCGCGATGGAGCGGCTCCGCTATGGAGCTGCTGCTGCAGGAGCTCAAGGCCTCTGGAGTGATGAATGTGGGGTGTGCGGAAGTCATATCACCACCCACCCTGGCAAAGTCATGGAAGTGGAGCAGGGGAGAACCTCACCATCACTGCATACCACTGCACGACAGAAGCTTTCTTTCCCCTGACGCTCTGGTGACTTCTTAGGTGACACGCCAAAGAAATATCGCAGAACAGTGATGGAATGAAAGTGTTGTTCCTCGCTTCCCCTTCAAAACAACTTTCAGAGGGGTGAGTATAATTATGTTATTCACATGTTCTATAACATAACCCCCATCTTCTTGGTTATGATGTATACTACCCCCTTGGCTATGTTATTGACATGTTCTATCATGTTCTGACCTGCTTTACCCCACTTGAGCTGGACCAAGGCGGTTGGAATGACTCGAGAAGGATGCTCCAGGAGGTGTCTTCCAACGGCTCCGCCCATCAACACGATTGATCGTTTGATCGTTTGACACAGCAGCAGGACAAAGGTGGTGTGCAATACTGTGGGAGTGTTTGGACTTGACTACACCTCTCATGCATTTCACACCTTGTCTGCACAATTCTGCACCTCTCACACTTGAGACTACGCCATGCAACCCCCATGGTGCAACACACACATCTCACAGAGGGCACCTTCTCGCTGCGAGCTCAGCTCTTCTCGCAGCGTGCGCACGCGTCGCGCCAGTGCGCTGCGACGTTCCAGGCGGACATCCACTGGGGCGGGGCGGTGCCGGTCGAATGGGCCAACAGGTCAGGGCCTCAGGGCCTCAGGGGGTTGATGAAGCAAGTCAAAGTGGAAGCAAGGGCCTCTTCATTCCTAAAGTTGGGTGAACAAGTAGAGTTGGTGTGTGTGTGTCTTGATGACTGCCGCCGAAAGGCCGAAAGGCCATGGTGTCATTGTTGCATTTGTTTGCTTTATATGTGACGGGCTGCCAGCAAGAACTGGCTGAACGGATCATTTTTCCACATGCAAGCGCATGTGGAACTGCAACACACCTAATACAAACAAAGCAAACGTGAAAAGTTGTATAGTATTAATCTCCCAATACCAACCTTAATGTTTTTACACTGATAGAAAAATCCAAAAGCAAGCAGGTACTTGGAGAACCCTCAGTAGCTCCCCGATTGAAATGTTTAAGTACTTCTTGTGGGCCCCCCCAGCTCCCAAGTCACTCCCCCCGCTCTCACAGCTGTGCCGCCAGCTGTGCGCCAGCGCCACAGCTGTGCGCGAATGCACCGACGGTGCCTGCAGATTTCCTCGCTAAGCTCTGCTGCAACTCCTCCTTCACATCTTGCGATTGTCCTCGCCAAAAGTGCAGCTGATCACCTCGCCAGCACCGGCAGGCCGCCCGAGCAACAGAAACAAGCGTGCGAAAGAGGCCAAGGCCGGCACTCAAAGCTGGGGTTTTGCCAAGCAGAAAGTGCCGTAAACAAACAAGTTCTAAACCTAGCAAATGTAGAGGAATCAGCAATCATGGCACCCTGGAAAAGACCCACATGGAAGCTGAAAACCACTGGTGAACGTGGAGAAAGCTAGTCTTCCAAAAATCCATGCCCTCAGGCTCCATGTTAATCTCAAGAAGCGGAGACAAGAAACCGTGTACTAATTAATGATGTATATATACATGGTTTTTTATCTTCTCTCTCTCTCTCTCTCTTTTTCTGTCATCTCAATCAAATGTCTAATGTTCCTCGCTCAGGGCGCAAAGCTTGGAGATCGTCTCGCCAGCGGCACACAGCTGAGAGGTGCGGAGGACACGTGGAGCGTTCCTGACCACGGTGACTTGTCGCGACGGTCGGGTACTGGAGGAGTCGCAGAGGTTTTTAAACTAGAAACGAAGCTGCCATGCGAGGTTAAGCGAACGTTCCACCATGTTCCACCTCCTCTTCTGAATGAGAAAGGTGTTTAACTAATTTTATTAAGTCCACGTTTCTTCAGTGTGGATCCTTGATCGCTAAGACCCTGACCTGTTTGCCAAAAACATGGCAGGTCACCTGTGGTACCATCCTCATCTGCCGCGTGCACCACTGGACCGGCCTGCCGCGCGGCTCAGCCACCTCGGGCGGTGCAATGCCCTTGTTCCACGGCTTGAGCATGGCTGCGACGGCCACCGCTGTGAGAGAACATAGACCTGCAAGCTATCTGTCAAGACATATGGGTGGAATCTGGAGGCAAGTGTTTGGCATTTGGACACGTAGTTTCCTACCATTGTTCCGGGTACCGCAGGTAGGGTAATTCTTGTCACTTCATGATACTTCATGCCTGTTCCATTCGACCCTATCAGTACGTGTCCTCATGCTTCTTCCCCTCATTTCCCTTCCCCTGAGAATGAACAGCTGCGTATGAAGGAAAAGTTAAGGTTCCGAGCACCTGATGATACCCGAAAATGCAGGCCGTGGCTCCTGCATCTTTCGGCGTCCTGAAACAACCTGAAAGAACCTGAAACAAAGCACAAGACTTCACCTGTGCCGCCTATGCCATCCAACCCTGACGATCTTCATTCAGAATATTGCCCGGCGGCGCAGGAGCACAGGGTTCGGAGAAACCGAGGTGTCTGTATAGCTTCTTTCCAAACCACAGCGGCTGCCCACCGACCCCCACTGTGGTGGATCTACTGTTGGACAAAAACCGTCCTGCACCCACCGACCACCAGTGCGCCCTAGGGTCGCATCAGGTGGCAAACGGTAGCAACCCCCATGACCTCGTAGTGGCCGCCGCTACGGCTGGGGTCGAACGAACACCTCCCGACCCCCCTCGCGGGTCATCGGACTGGAACGCGCGCGCGAAGCGCGCCTGTGACGACCTTCGGCTTGGAGGCCTGGTGATTCTGCGCAGCAGCTCTGATGTTCAAGCTTTGAATGGTTTGTCCTTCAAGGATTTCACACCGGCAGGTTTGTCATAGCCGCTCTGCACAGGGATCACAGGGGAACCAGTTCCCAGATCTTCCCAGAAGGATTTCACAATGACACCCGGACGGTGAAGCTGTTTCAGCTTGGGGTTTGACCCATCCACGGCAGGCAACCCGACTGTTTTGGGATTGGGACTTGATCCAAGAACCCCAACCAGGATGATGATCAATGGACATCGTTGCTAATGCACGGAGTCCTACCATGTCACTCTGTGACGCATTTGGTGCAAGGAAGATCGAGGAGGCACGTGTTTGGCACCAAGCCATTGGGTGAAGGGAAGCACATCATCGAGCCACGGCGGAGAGCTCCTCGGTGTCCCCACCGCGGAAAGCGTCGTGAATGGGACCATCCGTCGCCGCAAAGGAAGTTTGGCTGTGTTGCTATGGGCATCGTTCAAGCACAAGCAACCTATAGCAACCTACTTAACGCACCTTAACGCAACCCTTGATGACGACTCCCATAAATCGAAATGACATTTTCCTACGTTTCCAGTGTTTTGACCATTTGTCTCTTTAATCAGAGTGGCCTCTCCGGCCACTCTGAACCTCCAACAACACATATTTCTTTGGCTGACTCCTGGAGAGAAAACCAGGACCTAGGTCCATCCCTCTAAGCATGTCTAAGAAATCTGAGAACTTTTCATCCAAGTGGATTGCCGCACCAAAAACCAACCGCACACCGCGGTTCCTGCCCACCTCACGGGGCGAGGCACCGGGCCTAGGCCGGGGCCAGGAGAGGGCGGTTGGGCACATCGAGTGGCCGGTAAGGGCTGTTCATCTCCAATCATCTCCCTATTGGTTGTTTTCATCTAGAAGGGGAAGAAGAACAACAACAACAACAAATAACAAGACAACCCCCAGGCCCTATGCAAGTTGAATGAGAGTGTATATGACAATGTTGGACCACCGGTTCCCTAATTCTTTGACCAGCTCGGCATGACGAAAAACTGCCGATGGAGATGTTGATGAACAGCATGCAAACACCAGCTTGCATATGCAAGAATCGATGTTCTTAAATTTTTGAACTGGTGCTGGAAGTCTTCCCTCCAGACTAAGTTAAAGACCTCATGAGGGCCAAGCTCTGATCCCATCGGAGCAAACGAAAGAAAACGACCTAGAAAGGACCCAGATCCATCTTCTCCCAAGACTCGGAAATCATCATACCTGATCCAACTGATGCAAAATCCAAGCCAACCTTCGCTGAAATGGGTGGTTCTAAAAATGTAGATGCGCCTTTTGTGAAACCAAACATCCCACCAAACCCTGGAGCAACCAAAGTTTGCGTCTAGAATGGTAGGATTCCGCGAAAATTCCCCAAGCGACTTGGACGGTCAAAAAAAAAGAACCGCGAGAGCTCTGCCTGATTCTGGGATGTGTGGCAGGTCGAGGACGCTCGCCGCCAGTTGCCTCCAGGAAAAAGTTTCACGTGAGTTTAGATACTATTTTTAAACAGCGAGATCAGAGAGCGAGCAAATGACGTACATTTTGATTTTTGGTTTTGCAGTCACTTGCAGCCACTTGCTCAGGCAGCCACCTGCTCAGGCAGCCACTTGCCAGCCACTTGTCACTCAAGCAAGTAAACTTCGTAGCTAGCTCTGCAGAAGTTTGGAATTTATTCTCGGAAAAATATTGGGTTAATTATGTCATGTCATGATTTCTCCGCGCGCAGCCCGGGAGAAAACCGGAATTTCTTCGCAGAACAGCATTGCCGAAACCTGGGTTTACTTCAGAACTGCGTGCGGAGAAATCATGATATTCTCCGGACACAAGTAGCAGTCACTTGCAGCCACTTGCGCATCTTGTGCGAGCTCAATGAGCTTTGTTGTTACCAGTAGCGGTAGCCTCCAGCTAGTAGCTTCTGGTTACTAAGTACTAGAAGCTTCAAAGACATACTAGAAAGCTTTATTGTCACTCACTGACTCACTCACTCACTCACTCGCACGCACACGCACACGCACGCTCACGCTCACGCTCACGCTCACGCTTACCCTCACCATACTCACTCTCACTCTCACTCACACGCACTCTCACTCTCACTCACACGCACT